GTGCATAATTATAAGTTTATTGGTTTAATGTTAATTCTAAATAAGCAGAGTGCAAAATTTAGAATCTTTAGCCTAAAGCTCTGAACCGTTTGGAGCTTTAGTATTTATTAACATCTATTAAGTGAATCATCTTCGAGTTTTGTTGTGATAGATTCAATGTAATTAGTTAATTGTGAGGATTCTCATTGTTTTGTGTTTAATAAAATAAAAAGACTTAACATACATATAAGCCTTTTTTTTTTTTGATCAAATAATAATTAGTCGTTGGAATTTTAAATAATAAATATTAGTATGTCAAATTTTTATGTGTGAAAGAATAGGTTATCTAATACTATCTTTTATGTCTGTAAAAGAAAAATGGGTAGATTAGTGTAAAAAGTAAAAGAAAAAACCCGATCCGTGATTTAAAATCCATGTTTTCTCCAGAAATTCAAACAACGGATTAATTTTTTTTTATAACAATCAATTCTTACAGAGATATCATTAAAGGTATCAATAGTAATAATAAAGATTTTTCCAATTACAAAATTCCTGTTTAACTACAAAAAATACAATATATTTTTTTTTCCTTTATATGTATATATAAAATAAAATATAAGAAATCGAAATCCAGGTTAATTGTTATTATTATAAAATATTAAATAATTAAATAATTTATTTATATATAAATATAAAATACATGTCTATATAATATTGTTATAATCATTAATGCTATTGTTATTAATGATATTGTTAAGTTCCTTCTAATCTAATATCCATTATATTATATTAGCTCCATTAATATTAACATTATCATGTAACATCTTTAATTTTTTCCTATTATCACCATCGTCATCACCATCACCATCATCATTTTTATCATCAACAACACTGTTAGTAATGTTTTTATTACTTTTATTTTTATTATAATTATCAACAAAAGTTCCAATTGTGGAAATATTATTAGAAGAAGAAATTTTTGATCTTTTTTCTTTTAACTTTGAGTTACTATTATTATTGTTACCATTGTTAGATTCTAGATAGATATATGTAATTTTTGACCATTAATAATTTCGTTTTTATAAAATAATCAATCATAATACAACAATTATTGTTTTTCTGTTAATCAATTACCTTTTAATTCATCTTTTAGCCTTGGTATGAATTCTTTAAATTTATTAGAATCCAATGCTTTGAATACATCATCAGCTATTATGTTTTTATGATTATTATCTTTTGCAATTTCATTGGCACTTTTTCCCCACCAAAAAATAAAAACAATTGATGATTTAGTTATTATAAAATATAAAAAATATGATCATTTAATTTTATACCTTTTACTTATCAATTTTATAAAAGGTGTAATTGATTTTATTATAGCCAATTTAGCATTATTTTCTATTTGATGGTTACCTATCTTGTATTTTTGATTATTGAATAAATCAATTTTAAAAAATATCAATCTTTATAGAAAAAAAAAGGTTTGATTTAAAAATAAACTTACCGCATTCTCAATAATTTTAGTTATTAAAGAATTAGGCATGTCTAAATCTTGAAATTGTTTCATCTCTTCATCAAAATCAATTTCACTCCCTGAATCATTCTTTTGAAATTTGTTTTTTAGTGCTTTATTATTATTACTCATTATATAAATAATTAAAATTTTTGTATGTAATTAATAAATAATAATAATATATACATAGATGGAAAGTAAAAAAATCGTTACACGAATATATTAAAATTTTGATTGGCCAATTCAATTTCTTCCTATAATAAAATGACACAAATTCCAAACGATTATTACAGCATTTACAATGGCAATAATAGTTGGTTTATATGTTAAATATGCTATAAATGAATCAAGAAAACAATCAGAAAACAGGAAAAAAAT